ATAAATGAAAAATCAAAAATTGAAAACTCGAAAGACACAAAACGAAAAATTGCAAAATCTAAATTAAATTGAAAAATTCAAAAGTTGGAAAATATGAAAAATGCAAACTGAAAAATTAAAAAATGAAAACTCGAAGAGATGCATATCGTAAAAGTTAAGAAACAAAGCATGAAAAATTGAAAAAATGCAAATTGGAAAATCGAAGCAACAAAAAAAAAATCAGAAAATTGTAGAAATAAAGAAAACTAAAAACCGAAACGAAAATTTGATAAAATGAAAAACTGAAAACATGAAAATAAAAAAAAACAAATAAATTGTAAGTCGAAAAATTAACAAATTCAACAATTCAAAATTTTAAAAACTCAAATCGAAAAATTCAAAAAACTTTAAAGAATGGAAAAATTCGAAAGTTGGAAAATTGAAAAACTGAAAAAATTTAAATTTGAAAACTCGAAAAATTGAATAAACAAAAAAAATAATGAAAAATTGACGAATTCAAAAATTCGAATCAGAATACAAAAATCGCAAAAAGTTCTGTTCAAATAACCTTCGACCAGTTATTTCTGAATTATAATTCTGAGTTTTTAGGTGAAATTAAGGTTAATGTTTTTGAGTCTATTTATATGTGAGTCGGGTAGTAAGCAGCTAATTATTTAACAAATCCATTTTTTATAATCGCTTCAGCACTTACATTTTCGTTATTGCTATCTCCGCCAAGAAGTAATAAAGCTAAATATTGAAATAATGATCCCCCTGATATTAAACTCGACTGTCTCCCGTTTTGTTGACACTGTACAACAAATCAATACTCCTTTTCATTTTCCTCCCGACACACACGATTTAAAGTCGGCCCTTCTTCCAAAATTAATAAAGTTAGCCACAGGTCCTCGCTCCCGTCGGCTCAGGAAGGGCGGACCCCTATGGAAGAGGTAGAAACCCCAGGGGGTGAAGCCTCTACCAGTGGGGGCGGGCCCGCCTGAGACATATGCCTTGTGTCTCCTAGGACAATTATGGGATTTTTTGGTTGCAGAGATGGCGCTGCAGCAGATAAATTTCATTCAGATCAACCTGCAGCATTGTCGCATGGCGACGACTGTTTTGTGTCGTCGTCTAGACAAGATGCAGAACACTATAGCAATAATCCAAGAACCATGGATTGTAAAATCCAGGATCGCAGGGTTGAGCAATTTAAATGGCACTGTTGTTTCAGGTACCACAATAGAATCTCCAAGGACATGCGTCTACATTCCGAGGAAAATTAAAGCCGTCCTCCTACCTCAGGTCAGCTCCAGGGATGTGACTGCGGTAAATGTTAAGTGTAACATAGGAAGAGGCGAAGAGCAACTGGTAATAGCATCCGTGTACTTACCACAGGGAGCACAGGAACCATGTCCAACATGGGAAATGGCGAACTTGGTGGAACACTGTGATACCGGAAATATAAACCTCATCATCGGTGCCGATGCGAATGCCCACTGTCTGTTGTGGGGGAGCAAAGACACTAATGATAGAGGAAGAACACTAGCTGAATATCTTTCATCAACAAATCTAGAGATTCTCAACCGAGGCTGCGAACCAACTTTCGTAACATCACGTAGTCAGTCAGTAATAGATATTACACTGGCTACATGGGATATCTCACAATATATAATGGGATGGCACGTCTCTAAAGAGGCGTCAGTGTCAGACCATAGATGGATCATGTATACATCAAAATGTATAGACATGGAGATAAAGACGTACAGGAACCCTAGGCTGACGAACTGGGCTTCATACAACGAAGAACTGGACGACAGACTGGGGACCTCCGTGCAGTCTATACCAACAGAATACAGTTCGACAGAAGACATAGAGAAAACCTTGACCATTATCAACGACTCTCTAATGTCAGCGTATGAGAAAAGTTGCCCCCTAAAGAAGGAAGGTCTGGGCAAAGGTACACCATGGTGGAACCGAAGGCTCAGCCTACTTCAATCGGGGCTAAGAAAACTTTTCAATAGAGCAAAAAACACTAAGAAAACTGAAGACTGGGAAGCCTATAAAGAGCACCGGAAAGAGTTTAAGAAAGAATTAAGAAAGAGGAAACGGGAAACGTGGAGATCCTTCTGCAGCGACATAACGTCGACTGCTTCGGCCGCAAGGCTGAAGAGAGTTCTCTCGAAGGACCACACACATCAACTAGGTTTCCTAAAGAAAGAAGATGGCACCTTTACAGCCACCTTAGAAGAGTCCGCAGAACTTTTGCTGCAGACCATGTTTCCAGGCAGCACACGGACTACCTCCCATTCCAAAAGGGATGTAGTCGGTACTCAACCTTCCCCGAAGGACTGGGCGCTGGCTGCAAAGGTAGTCACGGAGGCAAGACTGGAGTGGGCAGTGGACAGCTTTTCCCCATACAAATCTCCAGGAGTTGACGGTATTTATCCCGCCCTCCTGCAGAGGGGAATGAGCAGACTACGCCCTATTTTGTTGCCAATGCTTCGGGCGTGTCTGGCTTTCAGCTACATACCGAATGCATGGCGAAAAGTAAAGGTTATCTTTATACCTAAGCCAGGACGACAAGATTACACCTTGGCTAAATCCTACAGACCAATTAGCTTAACATCATTCTTGCTGAAAACGCTAGAAAGACTAAGCGAAAAAGAGATTCGGGAGACTGCTTTGAGCAAGCAACCTCTACATCCGAACCAACATGCCTACATCCAAGGAAGATCCACCGATACGGCCCTACACACAGTTGTAAACCGTATAGAGTGGGCGATGGAGAACAAACTCTTCACCTTAGGAATGTTTTTGGATATTGAAGGAGCGTTTGATAAAACGACTTTCAAAAGCATAGAGCTAGCCCTACGAGAGCACGACGTGGACCCCACCCTGAGTAGGTGGGTGGCCGGTATGCTGAGGAACAGGGAAGTAATGATTAATGTAGGTGGCACTGAGATCGAGGCTGTTGTAGACAGGGGATGTCCTCAGGGAGGAGTTCTCTCTCCTGTACTGTGGGATACTGTCGTTGACAGCCTGATACGACGCCTCAATGATCTTGGCTACCACACAATTGGATACGCGGACGATCTAGTCATTCTGCTAACAGGAAAAAACGCAGATACATTATGTGAGATAATGCAAGCTGCAGTAAAAATAGTCGAGGAATGGTGCAGCAGACATACCCTCTCCGTTAATGGAGAAAAGACGAAACTAATCCTGTTCACCAGGAAAAGGAAAATTGGCACACTACAGATGCCAAAAATATTTAACACAACGCTTCAACTTTCGGACGAAGTCAAATACCTGGGAGTTGTATTGGACTGGCGACTGAATTGGAAGAAGCATGTAGATGATAAAGTAGAAAAGGCACGCTCGGCTCTTTGGCAATGTCGTAGGGTGGTGGGAAGGTCGTGGGGTTTAAATCCCAAGATCGCCCTCTGGATCTACACGGCAATAGTCAGACCGATGCTGTGCTATGGAGCTTTAGTTTGGTGGCCCAGAGCCAGACAAAAAACAACAGCCCTGCAACTTGAACACGTTCAGAGAATGGCGTGTCTCAGTGTTACAGGAGCAATGAGGACCACTCCCACAGCGGCTCTGGAGACTCTTCTTTGCTTAGCACCTCTTAACCTTTACATAGAGGAAGCGGCAATGACGACGTCTCTAAGACTTCACTCTCTGGGAGTATGGAACAAACAAGGCCGCACAACGAAGCACACTCGGATCTTAACGGAGGCGTTCAACAGAATACCCTTGTTAAGGATGGGCTGTGACCGAATGGGCACAAAATTAATATATGAGAAGACATATAGAATATCAATGAATGATAATTCAGAAGGACGAGCCGACATAGATATCTATGTCGATGGTGCCAAAACAGATAGTGGTTCAGGAGCCGGCATCTACTCCGAACAACTGAACGCACAAATTAGTGTACCTCTCGGCACCCACACGTCTGTCTTACAAACAGAACTGATGGGAATAATGCTGGGAGCTAGAATCATTGCTGAACGTGAAATCGGCAACAAATCAATACGCATACTTACTGACAGCAAGTCTGCACTACTAGCCCTGGACAGCTGTATGGTTCGATCCGGGCTGGTTTGGGAGTGCAGACAAACGCTAAAGTATGTAACGCAGAGGAATAGTGTGGAACTTTGTTGGATCAAAGGACACAGTGGCAACGAAGGAAACGAGAGGGCAGATGAGATGGCGAAGCGAGCCGCGCGCATGCCCTTCTGGGGACCCGAACCGGCAATCACGCCTTCGGTCGCCCTCTCGAACGAACTCGTAAAGCAATATACCCAGAGACGCCATGAGCAGATATGGGTGAAGTTGAGCAGCTGTCGGCATAGTAGAGCTTGTATGGCGACACCAGACCGTAAGTTGACGAAATTTTATCTCTCACTTTCAAGGGACAAACTGCGTAAACTGGTAGGATTCCTTACGGGACATTACCAGTTTAACAAACATCTATATACGATAGGGGTGGTAACAGACCCAATCTGTCGTGGATGCAATGAAGAAGAGGAAACAGCTGAGCACATTCTTCGTGAGTGTCCAGCCCTAGCCTCCTACAGGGAATCCATACTAGGGGACATCTGGCCTAGTATGGCAAATATCAGGGAGTTTCCACCCTCTGCATTACTCAAGTACATTCAAGCAGTTGGGTGGCTTGACGAGTAGAGGAGCGGGAAAACACCCTGATATGGACTTGGGGAAGGTACAATGGGCCCAAAGGCGAGGCCTAAGTGCCGGCTGGCCACGGTCAGCCCCCATAAATTAAGAATCCAGAATCCAGGTCCTCGCTCCCGCCCGCAAAAACTCCCCGTCCCGATATTGCGAAAGTTTCCGCTCTTGTGGAAGCGCAATACCGCGGCCTTTCCCCCGACCTGCACTTGTGTGCATAATAAAAGTGTAACAATGCGGTGCAGCGGTAAATAAGCCAACCAAAGCCTCATCAATGAATACAAATGAGGCTACTTTTAGCTTATCTGACGAAATGCGGGCAGACGTGTAGTGCCACAAGTATGGGGGCGTCAGTGCGCTTTCAGCTCTCGTCGAGACGCTATCGAGAGCGCCGAAAGCTACACAAGTGCGAAAAGTTTACGAGTGGCAAGTGCGCACGGGAACGCATAATTATAACGTCAAAAATTGCTAAGAAGTCGCGGCTCCAGATCAAACAGGTGGCGTTGTGGGTGTGATGTGCGGAGTTTGTGAGTGACTGAAAAGTTTTTTGAGGGAGGTGAGTTAACAAGTCATCAGATTTTTTTTTAATTGAGATAGTTTTGGCAACGATTTTTGGTGTAGGTTTGTCACTTCAGAGAAAAACTTCTGGTGTAAATAGTGCTTAAATTATTATTTATTTTACGGGTTCTAACTTCAGAGACGGGTCTTGGAATATTTATGTTTTGTGTTTTTGTAGATCCAGACAAATCTAAGTGCGCACACATTTTCGAAAATTATAGAATAAATTTTATAAAATAGTGAGGGATTTAATTCGACGTAAATGCTTAGAAAGTCTGACGTTTTTTTACTTAAACTATGCGTTAAGAACACATTTAAATTTTCTAGTATTTGTGTTGCCAAAGTTATAGTGTTAAAAATAAATTCAGTGAGAGTTTTATTTTTTATGTAAGTACTTTGAGATATGTTTTCGTTATGAATTGCACAGTTTGTTGTTTAAAATTTTTTATCCATTTTCATAGTTAATATTTTTCCCTATTTTCTTCGTTTTGATTACCCACTGTAATACTATACCGTGTGATTTTTTAAATTAAATCATGACCAACTAGAGCAGAAATTAAAAATCACCCTATATAATTTTTTTTTTGTTTGAGTTAACTTTGGCAACTAGTGGTAATTTTTGTCACTTCAGAGAAAAAGCTTCCACTTAAAAAGTTGCTTAAATTGCTATTTATTGTATGGCTTTTAACTTCAGAAACGTGTCGTTGAATATTTATGTTTTGTATTATTTTAGATCAAGAAAAATTTCAATGCTTAAGAAAATAGACTAAATTTTATAAAAACAAATCACGTTTTTAATTCGACATAAATGCTCGGAAAGTCAGATGTTTTTTAAATAAACTGTACGTTAAGAACAAATTTAAATTTTCTAGTATTTGTGTTGCCAAAGTTGTAGTGTTAAAAATAATTTCAATGACAGTTTTATTTTTTATATTTTCAGTTACTTTTAGTTGAAATACTTTTGCAGATTTTGACAATTTTTCAATACTTCCCCTCCAATAAAAATTTCGTCAATTCCATATCTTGCACTGAGAGCATAAACACGCTGTTTTTGAATTGGCACGACGAAATCTATATCCCAGAATTTTTTGGGAATTTTTGAGCAACTTTCTGGAAAGCTCAGTTTTTCAAAACTTGACTTTTTTTCATAGCAATTTTGACAAAATTTGGATTGATCTTTTTTTTCACCACTTTCTAAAAATACCTAGAGATTTTTGTAGATTTTGGTTTTCGGTCGTTATTTTGGCTTTATTTCTTAGAAAATGTCCATAATTTTTCCAAAGTCACCAATATGAACTATGGAAAAATTTTGAATTTCTAAAAATTGAATTTCAAACCGAATATAGGGAAAATCTTGCTGTTTTTCTACTCAGTTCGTCGCGATCCATAACCCAAAATTTTTTTGTGAATTTTTAACAACATTTCCAAAAAGCTCAATTTTTTAATACTCTTACGAAATTTTGACCTTTTTTGAACCACCTCCGAGAATTACCTACTGAGATTTTTTTACAGATATCGACCTTCAAAAGTTATTTTTGGCTCCATTTGTTAGAAAATTCCTACCATTTTTCCAAAATCGCCCATATTTATGAAATAGCAATTTCCAGGATTTTAAAAAAATTTTGAATTCAATCGGATATTTTAAAAACTATGCTCCTGGAGGATAAATACCATAAATGATATTTATTTTTCGAACCAGCACGTTGAGACTTATATGCTGCAATTTTCTGTTGATTTTTAGACGACTTTTCCAAAAACTCAATTTTTCAATACCTTTATGAAATTTTTGATATTATTTTGACCAATTTCGGAAGATACCTACAGAGATTTTGGTAGATTTTGGTTTCCAGTAGTTATTTGCGGTCCATTTTTTAGAACATTTTTATAATTTTTTCGGAATTGCTGGTTTAAAATATGCCAACATTTTGAATTTCCAAAAAAAATTGGATTTCGAACCGACTATTTGGTAAATTTTGGCCTGTCATCAACAAGACGCTGTTTTTCGATTGAGTTCGTCGAGTTTATAACCCAGATTTTTTGTGAATTTTAAAAAATGTTTCCCAAAAACTCAATTTTTCAACACGAAAGTTTCGACCTTTTTTCGAGCACCTTCTAATAGTAACTGAAGAGATATTTTTTATAGATTTCGACCGCTAGAAGGTATTTTTGGATTCATTTCTTAGAAAGTTGTACCGTTTCTCCAAAATCGCCCATATGAAATTTAGTAATTTCAAGGATTTTAAAAAATTTGGGTTTCAATCGAATATTTTGAAAACTTTGTTCCTGAACGACAAACACGCCATATTTTTCGAATCAGCACGTTGAAATCGACATTCTATAATTTTCCATTGGTTTATTAGACTTTTCCAAAAATTCAATTTTTCGATACCCCTATGAAATTTTTGATATTTTTTTTCGCCACTTTCGAAAAACACCTGGAGATTTTTGTAGATTTTGGTTGCCGGTCGTTATTTCGCTTTTATTTCTTAGAGAATGTCCATGATTTTTCGAAAATCGCCAATACGAAATATGGCAAAATTTTGAATTATAAAAAAAATGAATTTCAAACAGAATATTGGAAAAATCTTGCTTTGTTATCAACAACACGCTATTTTTGGATCAGTTCGTCGAGATCTATAACCCAGATTTTTTTAGGCAACATTTCCAAAAAGCTCAATTTTTTAATAGGTATTCTTTCGAAATTTTGACTTTTTTTCAACCACCTCTGAAAATTACCTACAGAGATTTTTTTTACAGCTATCGACCTCCAAGTTATTTTTGGCTTCATTTCTTAGAAAATTTCTACCATTTTTCCAAAATCGCTCATATACTAAGTGATATGGAAATCAGAACACCCTAATACCGTAATAGTACGAATATTTTAATATTTTTTTTGCAACGTGTGTATTAGTGTAAGATAAGTAAACGATCAGTTTGTGTCATATCTGTAGTAGTACTTGCCAAGATAAGACTGATTTTGGCAGATGACATATTTTACAAAAATAAAGGGTGGGTGGGCGGGGCTAGAAGCTGTTACCAAGGTAAGACTAATTTTGGCAAATGTCCTTCGAACATTCCGAAAATTCGCCAGGAGCTTTTTTTATGATCTTAGATTTGTAAAGCTCCCTTTCTTATTTGTTTTTCTACGTATTTTTTGTCCCTTTTTTGTCACTTTTTAGATTTTTTTAGGCGTTTGTACTTTTTTTGTCGTCTTTTTTTCTGGTGCGTTTTGGTGGCCTTTTTTTGGCGTTTTTGACACTATCCTTTTTTGTCACATTTTTTATCGTTTTTCTCTGGCTTTTTATTTTATTCTTTGGTGTTTTTATCTCATTTTTTTAGGCGTTTTTGTCTGCATTTTTACATCATTTTTTTGTGGCTTTTTGAATTGAAATTGAAATTGAACTTGAGTTTATTGGTAAAATAATAAATGTTTTACACAGATCAACCAATACAAAATTACCAGAACTTAAAACTACATTTCACTAAAGTCACAATTCCAATATATACTAAGTAACATGGAAATCAGAACACCCAGTAATAGTAAGAATGTTTTAATTTTTTTTGTATACATGTGTATTAGTGTAAGATAAGTAAAGTAGTACTTGCCACGATAAGACTGATTTTGGGAAATGATATTCTTTCTACAAAAAAAAAACGGGTGGGTGGGCAGGGTAGCAATTGTTTACTAAAATAAGACTGATTTTGGCAAATGTCTTTCGAACACTCCGAAAATTAGCCAAGAACTTTTTTTATGACTTTAGATTTGTAGAAGCTATTTTGGGTTCCATTTCTTCGAAAATACTAACAATTTTGCCAGAATCAATTTATCAAATGAAAAAATGTCAATTTTTGAGGCAAAAAAAAATATTATCAAACCAAATTTTCCGGAAATTTTAGTCCAGGGGCATTCATACTTTCTGTTTATCAAATAAGCTGTCGAGGTTTATATCCGAAAATTTTTTTGAGTATTTTTAAACAACTTTTCAAAAATCTGAAATTTTCTATCGTATAAATTTTTTCTGCATTTTTCGAACATGATTTGGAAATTACTCAGCAATTTTCTTGTAGATTTTCTTGTAGCTTTGAGCTTCATTTCATCGAAAAATCCAATAATTTTTCTAGAACTAATAAAATGAAAAGTGACAATTTTCAAGATGTAGGTATATTTGAAAATTTTATTTCGAACTGAATTTTTTGAAAATTTTGGTACCCGTTGTGTTTTTGAATGACTGCAAATTTTGATCATTTACTTCTATTGCCGTAATAACCACGTATAACAAAAATCATTAAAATATGGTTACTATTCCTGGGTGTTCTGATCTCCATGTCACTGAATGAAAGACTTTTTCAAAAAATCAATTTTTGAATACCCTAATGAAATTTTTGATATTTTTGACCACTTTCGAAATACCTAAAGAGATTTTGGTAGATTTTGGCTTCCTGTAGTTATTTTTGACTTCATTTCTTCTTTCTAAAATTTTTCTAGAATCGCCAATATGAAATATGCAAAAATTTCGAATTTCTAAAAAAACTTGGATTTCAGAGCGATTATTTGGAAAATAATTTCTGCTGTTTTTCAGGAATCGCCCACATGAAATGTGGCAGTTATCAAGATTTTTTAAAAATTTTGATTCGAATATGGATATTCGTGTGCTCCGGGACGACAAACACGCTATATTTTTTGGATCAGCGCATTGAGATTTATATTAATTCTTTTAATTTTCTGACGATTTTAGGCAACTTTTCCAAAAGTTTAATTTTTTCAGTACCATTAAGAAATTTTTTACGTTTTTTCGACCACTTTTGAAAATTACTTAAAAAGATTTTCTTGTATATTTCGACCTTCATAAGTTGTTTTCGGCTTACGTACATAAGATTAAAAATAATAATAATTTCCTAGTTTAGAAATATTTTCTGGAAAAAAATTCTACTACTACTTTTCCAGTAAAAACATATATTTTCCAAATTTTGCATTTTCCAAAATTCGTTTCATTTGTT